TTTTTTCCCGTGACTTTTTGACATGGACTGGAGATTTTCGCACATGTTTACGAACTGCACGAAGAGTGCTTTTGGATGTTGGGACCTTTGAGAAAATTCCTGTCGCCAACTACATAGGCATTTCTACAGTGAACTTTATTACAATTCTACATTTATTGTTTCGGTCACTGTAGCACCCCAGAAGAGTGACTTATGGTGTTCTTTAAAGCTTAAAATCAGAATTCATTCTAATGTGCAAACAATTTTAATTCACCGTAAAAAAGTAGACTTGTGAGCTCTCACTGTCTACCTTGAAGCACTGCAGCTAAATGATAAAAACCAAGTTTGGGCTTGTTCCTTGAAAACATGGCCGACATAGACTGAAGAGTGGATGCTTTATAAATAATAAATTTAATGTCCACATTACGGTCTTGTGCCTTTTAAATATAATTTTTTATTGGAAGAAACGATTCCGTCGAAGCTGTTATCAGTATATATTTCGGCGACCTTGCCATCATCGCACGCGCCACCAACAGGGACCATCCATTTTGTTTGCCTGATGTTAGGGATTGCGCAATGATCGTCTGGCTGTTTTTCCTTCGCCGATTTCCGAGCGTCATTAGTGATGTATATAGTCGGTTCCAAGTTACTTTTGAATGCATTTATCCTTCCGCTTTTCGTTGCCGCAGCGGCGGTAGCTATTCGACTCCTAAGGGTTAGGACAGTGAGGTCGCTTTATCGTCCGGGTTACCGTATTTGTTCGCTACCTTCGTTGGTTGTTTATATTCCTTTCTTTCGAGTTGGCCTCACCTTCGATGCAATCTGTCATAATCTACTGCCTGGACTCACTTTTTTCACGTCACTGGATCTACTTGTTACCGACCAATGCGTATTTTTGCAATTAGAAAAAATGTCGCCGATAATAGGATTGCTGCGTCAATTACATTTTCGTAGCAGAAGCAAATATAACTACTTTGACTTGTGTTCCTTCCTATAAAAATAAGAGGCTATACCCGAAAAAAAAAACTGCGTGTCGTACGGATCCATATTTGTAGTCTTGCGGACCAGAGTTAACTTTTTCTGTATGCAGTAGATGAACGTCTAATTCGAATCCGGTCTCTCTTTTGATCCATTTGTTTCTCAGAGTCCAGAGGCTACCGACCACCCGGTCTTAACTTTTGGAGACGTGAACTTCATGGCTGAAGCTACTTTGAGTGAAGTGAAACGCCTGCAGGAAAACGCTAAGATTTTGACTGAACGGGCCTCAGCACTGGGTGCGGACAACTCGAATCTCTCAATGCATCTGGAATCTTTGACTTTGGACGCATCAAAAGTTGTTCCTGACTCGCCCACTGTCACAAAGCACCCAGAGGAGTTATCCCTTTCAAAGGAACCGTCTTCGGAATTGAAACAGGTGGCTACAAAAATGGTAAGTGAAAGTCCTTCATCTTTCTCTCATACTAAAACCTTTTTGCAGACAGAACAGCCCAGTCAATCGATCCCAGAGGCTGAACCGCCCGGTAAGCAGCCAGTGCATTTATCGATTCCCGGTGAGGTTTCAGATACCGAAAATGTGCCCCCGACCCCAGAGGCTCCTGCCCGGCCTCTTGAAAGCGGTACAACTTCGGCGGCTGCAAAGAAGAACAAGAAGAATCGAAAGAAGGCCAAGCAAAGCGAGGGCTCCGCGGAACAGACCGTGGATGTCGTTGTAGCAGAGAGCGATGAGGCTATAAAACCGACTGAACCCCCTCCACCAGTTCCCGCTCCTGAAGAAATTGTCCCTGAAGCTGACTGGGATACGATCAGTGATAGTATGGACAAATCCGCGCAGCCTTCAACCACAGAGCAGGAGACATCTTCAAGCAAAAAGTCGAAAAAAAAGAGGAAGTCCAAGTAAGGGCGGTCATATTCGTACTAGTTTGTTTGGTCTTTTGCATACTCTCTCCATCCGGGAGATTTGTGTCATATTGACACCGCGTCTAATCTCACCACAACCAACTTAACTCAGCGTCACTATTCATTGTAGGAGGGAGCTAGATATATGGAACAAACTTTCAGTGCGACCTTTCCTTACTGTAACAGCTTTGACGCACTGGAAGCCATAACTTAGAACCTTTCCATCTGAAGATGTAACCCGACCGTCCCCCGGATGGATGATCAAGCTACAATAGTTTATTCTTTATATTTGAGCCTCTTGGTGCCTCTTTCAGATGTGATAGTCCAGTGGAGGGAGTCAATTTCATTTTGGCTGAGGGTGCGCGCAGACGGGGCAAATTCTTGTCCAGTCAGTGCGCCCAAACCCAACCCCAATAATCTGGGCACTTAACTGTTGTTTACAGCAAATGAAACACGTACTCAAAAAGTCCCCTTCAGAGTAACTCATGTCACGCACATGTCAGCGCTACTCTCCCTCAGACGGGGGTGGTCCTCATGGATGTCTTTCTATGCTAACCTAAGTTTTCCCCATGACTGCAAACTTCCTCTGTCTGGAATACTTGCGTTTTGCTCGCGTGTGGATAATGTAGCATATCATGAGCACTTTTTGAGAGCCTCCCCGGGCCAATTTGCTGCAGAGATTTGCTCTAAAAGTATTCCAGGTAAAGGAAGCCTTGCTGTTTTTTTTTGTCGCACCCAATTCGCACTGTTTTCCTCCATTACCTTCCTTCCTTCCTTCCTTCCTTCCTTCGTGTCGCCAAAGGGTTAGTCCGCCCTACGCTCCATCTCTCAGCTCTTCCTGCAGCAAACAGCGGTCTTTGCAGTGCCATATAGCACACTACCACAGTCGTCGCGGTCCACTTGGATATAAAAATAAGATGAGGCGAATGCGAGGTGGTTTTACAAATTCGGTTGAAGTTACTAGGACTAGTGAAAGCGAATTGAAACATTGTTTTCCTGGAAGAAGTTTGAACAAGGTGAAGGTCACGAGATTGGCAGAATTTATTGGCGTCATAATTTTTCGATCCTTTACTCAACTGCAAACAGTCATTGCCCATTAATAAGATAAATTCACTGTCCAAGTAAGTGTCGACATAAAAGGGTAAACTTGATAGGTAAATAAAGTAGAAGCTATTAGTCTTAGATGTTGGCGCACGGTGAAAGAGTAGAGGAGGGAGATAGTTGTCACAGCATGGCAGTTCATGTTCCTGAATGCCTGTGAGACATGGTTAAAGGGGGTGGGGGCAGCTGAGGGAGTAGCAGTCGGTCCCAAGGGGAGCGAGGGGGCGTAAGAAGGAATGAGTTTATTGATCGGCAATGCGAGGTTGATAACATGATCTAGCTGCTTACAGAGCGCTGCTTTTTCTTCTCCGTATTGCAGCGGCCTCTGCAAATCGTAGGGAATTTCGAATACATGGTTTCATGCAAAATTCATGACAACCAAGTAAGGGGTTTACTTTCTTCTGTAACCTTCTGCACCATGTATGTAAAGCTGGGGGTTGGTGGTGGTGATACTAGCAACTGCCAATGCAAGCGAAAATGCGAGTCCCAGGAAGAAATTGAGAAGAAGACGACTCGATCGCTGGGACAGTATGTTTATTCGCCTGGCGTTTCGACATCCTTCGCGGATTCATCATCAGAAACATAATCACGGAACAGCAGCAGATACAGGTAGTTTGTGCACATGAGTCTGCCGTAAAATTTAAACGTGCAGAAAAAATCGATAAATGCTTGGAGCGTGCGCTGATTCGCTACGTCAGCAATGACCATCTGGCTCTGCGGTGTTGGCATAGGATGATGCGGTGGCCCGTCTGTTCCCCGAGCGGTGACTTGCTTTGGCCAAGTTTAGTCTCAGCACCGAATGCGGTTTGGGCAAATCTTTGCACTTGTTGATTCGACGAGACCCGGCCACACATTCAAATTTGGTGAGGCCGAAATTCTCGCAAGAGGTGACAATCGGGTGA